GGCGGGGGGCGTGGGGCTCAAGAGGTTAAGTTGTGCGTACGAGTGATTTAGGAGAATTTGTGGCATTCACCAATGTTTTTTGTATTCTAAGATTTTCTTCAGATACGAACAAAATTCACGAGTGGTCCAGACCTGTTGTGTATTTTACGAGCAGTCAGTCTGCTGTTATCCAGACTGATTTTTCTCACTAACAACTTTATATTTCATTAGTTTGAAGATATTTTGAGTTGAAAATAAATCACACACATACATTTAATAAAAAATATGTATATGAAGTACATTTAAGAGTAAATTAAAAATTATATTTTAATATCAATAAAAATATCCTTCAGTGGTGTTCCTCAAGGAGGGTGCTTCGGACCCCTCGGGTTGTAAAACGCTCCATTTGTGTTTCCTGCAGGCTTGTGAGCAGGAAGCATCAGCAGCTGATGTGTGAAGAACACGAAGAGGAGAAGATCAACATCTACTGCCTGTCCTGCCAGACGCCCACCTGCTCCATGTGCAAAGTGTTCGGACAACACAAAGACTGCAGCGTGGCTCCGCTCGGCACCGTCTACATGAGGCAGAAGGTAACGGAGCTCAGTTTCGGTTCGTCTTTTATCGAGTCGTGACTTTTGTTCAAACAAGAAAGGCTGGAAAACCACCGGGAGCGCCCGGACGTTTCATCAGMAGCTGAAGTGTTGAAAAGGTTAAATCAGAGTTTATAGTAGAGTCTCAGAACAGGACGGTGACCTTTATTATCCTGTCGTCTTTCTCTGGTTTCTATTTTTACCTCCTCGCCCCCTTGTGCCCAGGCATCTCGTTACAAAACAACCAAAGATGATCCCTGAAACAAACACACAAACACACACGTCTAACCCCCTCCTGCTGTCCTAAAACTGAGCCCTCAGCTCGTTTTCATCCAGTCGTCTCCTTCCTCTCTATGACTGATCAAAGTTTTAAMATTTATGTGACACAACATCACGCCAAAAATGGCCGGACCATCTCTTTACGCTTTAAAGCTTTTGTAACCGTTTGACCCAGAAAGTCAGGCGACGKCAGCATCAGAAGCGGGTCGCGGAGCAGTTGTTGACATTTCAGCGCCAGCCCGCTCCGTTTCTCACCCCGCATCTGAATCACTCATCTGCAATGTAGATGAGGTGCAGGGAAAGTTGTTGATTCGCAGCTTTAACAACAAACGTTGTGTGATTTCATTTGGCCGGAGCAGACGTGTGAAGTTTTCTGCAGCTCGTTAACCGGAGCCCGGACTGCAGCAGGACATCAGCACCAGTGTGATGTCAGAACACAGTCGAAGCAGATGCACGCCGCTGACTCATGCTGTTTGTGGTTGAAAGGCTGACTCATCAAAAATCACTGGGAGAGCATCCCGCTCATAACCCCGCTCATAATCCCGCTCATAATCCCTGTGTGCATTTTAAACAGAACAAACCAAGACACTTATTATTAATCTGGATTGGATTTAATTATTAATTAACAAACTGATAGGCTGGATGTGAGGGTTCATCCATTCATTGATTCTTCCATCCATCCATCCATCCACTCTTCCATCCATCCATCATCCATCCATACATCCATCCATCCACTCATCCATCCATCCATCCATCCATCCATCCATCCACTCATCCATCCACTCATCCATCCATCCATCATTCATCTTCTGCCCATCGATCCATCCATCCATCCATCTTCCATCCATCCATCATCCACTCCTCCATCCATCCATCATCCATCTATCGATCGATCGATCGATCGATCCATCCATCCATCCATCC